AATATCAGTCTCGCCATGAACGCGAGAGCTCTTCTTTACTCTCCGAATCTTCACTCTCTCTACACTTCGAACCGTCCACCTGAGACCTCTTCTCGCAATCGCCGGAATCTTAAATCGGCTCCGAATCCGTTACGGGTATGGATCTACCCGCGAAACAGGTCCAGCGTTTTCCGGGTCTTGGTTCGGAGCTCTGATAAGAGAGAGAGCAGTAATTCGTATGCGGAGTTATACGGTGAAAAAGTGAATAGAAACGGCGTCGTTTCTGATTCTCCTCCTAGCTCTCTCCCATGGTGGGAGCAGTTTCCGAAGCGATGGGTGATTGTGCTTCTCTGTTTCTCTGCTTTTCTTCTATGCAATATGGACAGAGTAAGTCCTTTGATTCAAAAGTTATGGAACTATGGCTCAGCTAGGAACTGGAGTTACCAATTTTGGACAGATGATGTTTTACAGGTGAACATGAGCATAGCAATACTTCCCATGTCGGCTGAGTATGGTTGGAATCCGGCAACTGTTGGTCTGATCCAGTCTTCATTCTTCTGGGGCTACCTTCTCACTCAGGTAAGCTTCTCGGAATAGAATCCTTTTGCCCTTTCACGTACTACTGTATTACATCTGAATCAGTGGCTTGATGATATGACAGATAGCTGGTGGGATATGGGCGGATACGGTAGGCGGCAAAACTGTTTTGGGCTTCGGGGTTATCTGGTGGTCAATCGCCACAATTCTCACTCCTATCGCAGCTAAGCTCGGTCTCCCCTTCTTGCTCGTTGTTCGTGCTTTCATGGGAATTGGCGAGGTTTGTGATTACTTCTTCAGAATATCAATCTCGGTTGTGTATACCGATAAGGAGAAGTAAATCTATCTCCATGATATCTCCAGGGTGTTGCAATGCCTGCTATGAACAATATACTGTCGAAATGGGTGCCTGTGCAAGAGAGAAGCAGATCTCTAGCGCTTGTTTACAGCGGAATGTACCTTGGATCTGTTATCGGTTTAGCCTTTTCGCCCTTCTTGATTCATCAATTTGGATGGCCCTCTGTGTTTTACTCTTTTGGGTCTCTTGGAACTGTATGGTTGACTCTATGGCTAACTAAGGTCAGACTTCCCTACCGCCTTTTTAGAATCCATTAATAGACGGACCCTAAGATCAAAGGGCGTGTGTTGTTACTAACTGTAGGCAGAGAGTTCACCGTTAGAAGATCTGACCTTGCTCCCTGAAGAAAGAAAACTAATTGCAGACAACTGTGCCAGCAAAGAGCCAGTGAAGTCGATCCCGTGGAGGCAGATATTGTCGAAACCGCCTGTTTGGGCTCTCATCACTTGCCACTTTTGTCACAATTGGGGAACATTCATTCTCTTAACATGGATGCCAACTTACTACCATCAAGTCAGTTCTATTACTGTCTTTATTCAAGGGGCTTGATGTTTTATCTTTTTTTTTGTTCTGATTATTAATCTCATGGACATTGTGAGGCAGGTGTTGAAGTTCAACCTAATGGAATCAGGGCTTCTCTCAGTATTTCCATGGATGACAATGGCGATTTCTGCAAATGCTGGAGGATGGATCGCCGATACACTCGTCAGCCGAGGTTACTCTATCACGACTGTCCGCAAGGTACCTGCATATCACTTCTTCAGTCCATTTTAATGTAATCTAGTGAAATTAATGAATTCATTCAATAATTTTCTTTTTCCTTATAATGAAATTCAGATAATGCAAACAATCGGGTTTCTTGGACCAGCCTTCTTCCTAACACAGCTGAAACACATAGATTCTCCTGCGATGGCTGTTTTGTGCATGGCTTGTAGCCAAGGGACTGATGCGTTCTCGCAGTCTGGTCTTTACTCAAACCATCAAGACATTGCTCCGAGATACTCTGTAAGTGTAATCGTTACTCTCAAATCTTAACCAATCATGCTCATAAAAAGCAGCTGCCAAGTAATAGCATGTTGATGTTGTTGTGGTCAGGGAGTGTTACTTGGCTTGTCTAACACAGCTGGAGTACTTGCCGGAGTTCTTGGCACAGCCGTGACTGGTCATATCCTACAGCATGGTCAGGACACTCAACACTTATTAAATTCTGACAATGTTTTGTCAACAGTTTTTATGTGTTTCCAATGAAACTAACAATGGCATGAAATGCCTCAGGTTCATGGGATGACGTCTTCACCACCTCGGTCGGTCTTTACCTTCTTGGGACCGTCGTCTGGAACCTATTCTCAACCGGAGAGAAGATTATCGATTAAGACTTGATTCGAGTGATTAATCAGTGAACTGTTCAGCTCCAAGACCTCATCAGGTGCAAGTGTCTTCACCTTCTGCCTGTCTCTGATTATACAGATATTGGTCCAGAGGCTAAGAGGTTGTCTGAATATTCCATTTTTGCTGGAAAATTCTTCAGGGAAAATACATATATGATTGATACTAGTAGTACCACGTAGATCTGTAGATGAAAAATATACAGATGATTTTTGTACATAAACAAAGCTCACAAGACACAATGTCCATGTTTCTCAAGATCACTTAAATCACTATTCTGCTCCATATATAGATATTACAAGCAATTCTATAATATGATACTAATGTGTAGCCAACGAGTGACCAAGAAAGAGTCTTCCAAATTTATAGGAATGGCTAAAAACTTAAGATGTACGGCCACTAGCAGAACTTGATCTTGTGAACGAGGTTGATGAGTTGATGAACTGTATGCAGTCTTCTATCGCCTCTGACCTATGAGTATCATTAACTACAGAGATGGCCGAAAGCTGAGATCTACCGTTAGAAGAAGCCTTCACTGGTGGAGATCGTTTCTTCTTCTTCCTCATTACCACCAAACGTAATCCCTTAACAAAGTTATAGCTGAGATGCTTGATCAGTCTTGCTGCTGTGACTTCTGTATTCCTTGGTAGCCTCAAGCCACAGCTCCTTGTGCATCCCGGACTCTTACCATATGCTCCCTTGGCTGAGGATTGTTTACTAGAAGTGACCGGTCTAGTGTTTGTATTGAACCGTTTGGTTCCTGTAGCTGACATATCAAGAGAGTGAGAGCAGTTTATGAGAACTAACTTGAGGAGAGAGAGAGGGATATTATATGTATAAAGGGATTGATGCTCAAAGAGCTGCCTGATAGAGTTCAGGTAGAGACCAGAGAAGCCATGATTATTAATAATGTATCAATAATGAGATGATTACACTTTAGCCATGATTACTGTAGACATTAAAAGCATGTACAACTAAAAAAAGTAGGCAGGTTCAATTCAAACTTATTTTAGATACTTTATGTGAAAAGAATTGTAATAAGTAACCGGTATAAAGATAACAAAAGCTCAAGCGCCGAAATGTGGTAACGAAAGCTAGCCCAAGAGAAAAAGAAGAAGAATTTGTTTAGTTTTCTACATTTCCACCATGGAAAGTTAGTATAAGATGGTCCACAAAGGGTATAAAACCATTTGTTTAAACGAATAAAAAGGTTCTTTCTATGAAGCAACCTTTCGGTATGGTTCCTATTCGATTATCACATATGTGTGTGCACAAAAGAAATGTAAACAAATTCTTTTGAGAGGCTGAGATAAACTAACCTTTATAAATTGCAGATACCTTCCTTGAGCCTGAGACTACCTAAAAAAATAAAGAGAGAAGAAAATTGAGTCAATAGAGGGCACACGAATATCAGAAAGCAAATAATAACCAAGACAATGTCATGACTTACATTAAACATCATACTTTGGATAATGGCTTTTTACATGTTTAAACAATCCATTGAGAGCAGAACAAAAATCTATGCATGATTATATTAGTTGATGCTAATGGCAGATAATCG